CGGATCTCGGGGGGTAGCTCGTTCCAGAGGGTGGGGGCACCCACAGAGAAGGCCCTCCCCCTGGGGGTCGCCAGCCGACATTGCTTGGCCGACGGCACCCTGAGGAGGCCCGCTCTGTGGGAGCGTACCGGTCTGTGGGAGGGAATCTGTGGCAGAAGGCGGTCTCGGAGGTATCCAGGTCCTATGCCATGGAGCGCTTAAGAACAACTTAAGAACCACCCTCTAGCTCAGGGGTCTTCAAACTTGGCAACTTTAAGACTTGTGGACTTCAACTCCCAGAATTCCTCAGCCAGCCCTGGGAGTTGAAGTCCACAAGTCTTAAAGTTGCCAAGTTTGGAGACCCCTGGACTCTAGCTTCATGGACACATTGAATGGAAGAAAAAGAACAAAGCCCTCCTTAAAAGCCAAACTGTTAGTGATTATATTTGCCGTGCTGTCTTGAGTGTATGCAAACTATTCTTGCTTAAATTTAGTTAAACTAAGTTTTTAAAAAAACTCATTGTTTCTTAATTATTATTATTATTACTTCTACTATTGGGGTATTTTAATTCTTGCTAAGCTTGTTCTATTCACCTTTTTCTCTCTCTCATTAATATGATATAATACACTGATATCTTGAATTGTAATTAATTATTGATAGAATATCTTTTTTTGCTCTTATTTTCAATACTCTTTTCCAGATAACAGAATGCCAGTAATCTCTTATGATTTAAACATCACCGTACTGAAATAATACAATGTTTCAAGGCACATAACACACAACACAAAGGGAGCAAAACAGAACAATTGTAAAAAAAATAAATAAACAATGCTTGGTTTAGGCCTTTCACCTTAATAAATGAATCCAGCTCTGTTATGGCTTGTAAATCAGGGCTTATGGCAAAACTGAATGTGTGGACAAACTTGTGTCAGCCAAGAAACCATGATTAAGCAAGGCCAAGACTGGCCAGGCACTGACCTCCCTGGGAACCAAGAAGAAGGAAAAAAACTCATTCCCCTTCCATCTTTTTCTGAGATTCGCAACTGGGTTCCCTGTTTAGCTTGGTGGAAGAAGTTTTCGGTCAACTGATCTTGGCCAAGGGGGGAAGGCACTCTGCACGTGAGCAGAAGCCTGGAGGACTCTACTCTAAGGTGCACAGAGTTGAGTCGGTCTCCTTGGCTTGGCAACTGGGACCCCAGTCAAAGGAGGGCTCCTGGGTGCCCTCTGAGTTTGTTTTTTTTGCAGACTTTTCATTACCCTAACTAGGTAGCATCATCAGTGCTAAAAAGGAGGGAGGTTTGTGGAGTGGAAGAGAGGAGAGGGGGGGAACAACTGTGAGATCCTGGGTGCTCTCCGAGCTGGCTTTTTTTTTCTCTTGCAGACGTTTCATGACCCACACAAGGTAACATCATCAGGGCTAGCCTGGACAGTGCCACTGTAGGGTTGCCAGGTGTCCACTATTTGAGCGGACAGTCCACTTTTTTCACATTATGTTCACTATTATTTTTTTCACAAAATAGTGGACATTTTTTTTATTCAAAAGCTTTATGATGAAATGGTACGTAATCTAAAGCTGTACAGTCTACCTTTTTTTACTACTTAACACCCCCCCCCCCGCTTGTCCGCTATTTTTGGGAAGCAGACCTGGCAACCCTACTGGACAGGTCTGCAAGAAAACAAGCCAGGAGCCCTCAATTTTCAACCCCGGGCGACAGATATTCTCTTTTGTTGGAAGCGCAAAGGCCTTCTGCACGGGGGCAGAGGCTAGAGGCGCTCCCCTCGGAGCAGCTGTCACCCCCACCCCCAGCCTCCCTGCCGCTGCCGAGGCCCGGCCCCGGGCCAGCTGGTGCCTACCCACCGTTCCCTCCCTCCCTTTCCTTTCCTTTCCCTTCCCTTCCCTTCCCCAGCGCAGCCAGCTCAGCTCCTCCCCCGCCGCTCGCTCGCTCGCTCGCTCGGCTGATCCGGCTCGGAGCGCAAACCGCGGCCGAGAGCGCTGCTGCCTTGGCAGGTGGGGCGAGCCGCCCGCGCGAGGAAGCCGCGCGATCCTGTCTCTCGCGCGCGCAGAGCCTCTCCCTCCTCCCCAACTCCGTGCGCCTTTACGCGGACTCTGCGCGCCTTTACGCGGACTCTGCGCGCCTGCCTGCCTGCTTCCCTGCCCGGCACCATGTCTCGCCCGGAGAAGCCAACCTGCCTCCTGCTGCTCCTGCTCCTGCTCGCGATCCTGCCCGCCGCCTTGCTGGCCCTGGTGCCGCCGCCGCCCGCCTCCATCCCTGGCGCAGCCAAGAACGGCAGCAACGGCCCCGGCGACCCCCAGAAAGCGGCCGTCTCGCCGCCTCCGCCGCCGCCTCCTCCGCCCTCCTCGGCCGGGAACCACAGCGGCGCTGCCCAGCGCAACCCGGTCCTGGCGATGCTGCGCGATTTGCCGGCGCTGAAGGCCGCTGTCATCGGAGCCTGCGCGGCCAGCGCCTGTCTGATGGCCTGCCTGCTGTTCCGCGTGCTCAGGTGCGGCGGGAGGAAGGGGGCGCGCGGGGTCCCTGGCCGCAGCCCTTTGCCCCCTGGACCCCCTCTCCCTAAAGCAGCCGAGACCCTTCGCCCCAGCCCACCCCACCCCGCTGGGATCCCAGCCCACCCCTCTCCTTGGGTAGCTGTTCCCGGAAAGGGGGGTGGTGGTAAAGAGAAGGTGTATTTTTTTTAACCTTGCTTGGTGGGGGGTTAGGGGGGATTTAGAAGCGCTGCCCACCCCTTACCTTCCTAAGCCCCCCCTCCCGCCGCACCACGCACAATCTGACAAGGTAGGCCAGGATGTTACCTCTCTGCCTTTCCTGGTGGAGAAATAAAGGGGTGAACCTGTTTGGGTTTCAAACCCCCAAGGTTTGAATGTTTTTTAGCCTGCCTCTTTTGCATTTAGGCCAACCTGGCCTGTAATGATTGATATGGAGAATTATTCTCTTAATATATAGCAAATAGCAACAGGACTCAGACTTATATGCCGCTTCACAGTGCTTTACAGCCCTCTCTCTAAAGCCAGTTTACAGAGCCAGCCCAACAATGGGGGTCCTCATTTTACCGACCTCGGAAGGATGGAAGGCTGAGTCAGCCTATGTACTCCAAATACATATACACCAAATATGTCTAATAACAGATGTCTAATAATGCTGCGTCTTCTTATAAGGCAGGCCAGGAGATCTTGATAGAAGAGGCTTGAGAATCTAAAAGTAGAGTCCTTGTTTAAGAAGACCTAAGGCTTGCCAATTGTTTTCCTGCTGCCCTGACTTTTTAACATTGCTTTTGTTCTGCTGGCCTGGGTGTAAATCAAGTATACTTAAGGATTCTTTTGAGAAGGGCTCCCCACCCCTATGCAAAATTCAGAAGGCAAAGCCTGCCAGCAAAGGGCACGTCATCTATTATCCCTTCCTTCCTTGCTTTATGGAGAAGCTTGCGAGCAGCTGCCAACAGCCACTGGCTTAATGGTGAGGCAGTGAGATTTAAACCGAGGCTTTCCAGATGAAAACTGAGCTTTTTTTTGCCCAGGTTCAACCACAATCGCGTGTGTGAGCCCCCTCCTACCCCCCCACCCCCGCAGGCACAGCGCTCATAAAAATCTGACTTTTTAGGGAGGTTGGTGGGAATCCTGTTTACTTCCCCTCTGAACAGGATATCTTTCTGTAAGGGAGGCAACACTTCCCCCCTCCCCCAGGGCTTTTCTGCTTGATCTTATAACAGGGACCTGAGTAATTAGAGCAGTAAATGCAGAGGAAGATGCTGGTGCCTCCCCTGCAGATGGCATGAAGGACTAACTTTTCAAGTGCTGAGTTCAAGATTGCTGTGACACCAGCCACCCGGGGCCCCAGTCCTTGCTTTTAGTCCTCTCTCTCTTCAACTGCATGACAAACTCGCCCCTTGTAGCTGGAGGCCTGGAGCCCAGTTTAGTGTTGTCTAGTGTAGTGTAGTTGTTGTGGTTAATGCACCAGGGCACAGACGGGGTGGCTGTGAGTTCTAGTCTCACTTTAAGCACAAAGCCCTGGGCCAGTTACTCTCAGTCCAAGGAAGAAGAAGGCAATGTATGTAGTAAAGGGTGCTTCCAAAACCCTGCCCCCCCAAAAAATAAACTGCAGGGACTGATCCAAGCCGTTGCCAGAAATCAACACAGACTAAAAGATACAGGTAGTCTTAGACTTATAACAATTCACTTACTGGCCGTTGGAAGTTGCAACGGCACTGAAAAAAGCAACTTAGGATCATTTTTCACACTTAATGACCGTTGAAGCATCCCCAATGGTCGCGCGATTTGCATTCGGATGCTGGACAACTGACTCCTGTTTGTGACGGCAGCCGCGTCCTGGGATCATGTGATCGAGCCAGTGGGGAAACCGGATTCTCATAAAAACCACGTGACTTAACAACTGCCCTGATTGGTTTAACAAATGTGGCAAGGAAAGTCATAAAGCGGGGCATCTCGCTTAGCAAATTGCTCAGCCACATAAATTTGGGGCTTCAGTTGTGGCTGTAAGTTGAGGACTACCTGTACGTATTTTTATTTTTTTTTTAAAAAAGGAATCACATATAGATAGTATGTAATTGAGCCTGGAATTGCAGTTGTTAAGCAGGTCACTGTGTGACTGGAACGGATTTTGTGACTTTTTGTGATGGCTGTTCAGCAAACAGAGTACTTGCTAAGCAAACCTGTTTCATCCAGTGGGCATATTTTGGCAGAAAATGGAAGTAAACACTGGAAATCGGCAAAAAACTCCCAAACCCATGAAAAATCAGTCGTGTGCCTGCTTGCAAACAGCCATAAAGGTGAGCCAGTTGCCGAGCACCCAACATATGATCACATGACCGCAGGAGTGTGTGTGTGTTGCCCTTGTGGTTTCAAAATCAGGTCACAGGTAGCTTTTGGGGGCTCTGTTGTTTGAAGTGTTACTTAGCAACCAGCCATAAGTCAAGAACTACCTGTATTAGCAAGGCATTAAATCCTCTCTACTAAAGCCCGTCTTAACCCCACCTTCTCCCATCTGGCCATCTCCAGATGTGCCGGGAGAGCAGTTTTCAACATCCTTTTGTCAGCAGAGCTTGGAATTCTGGGAGTTGTTATCCCAGCACATCTGCCTGGTATCAGCTGAGAAAAGCTATTCTCACCAGCTGCCTTAACAGCTTCCAATCACGGCCTACGTTAGAAACATTTACATTATGGCTTACGTATATTTTCACCAAATTGGGATGATCAGAAAAACCAGACTATTAAGACTTTCCAAGTCAGGCGTTTTAGCTGTGTATAAACCAGGACCGGCCATATTTGCTCCACCGTCCCAAAGTAATTTTTCACAGTTGTTATGACATGAATCTTTTAAGTGGCAACACAGGTAAGTCCTCAACTTACGACCACAATTGAGCCCATTTCTGTGGCTAAGCGAGACGTCAGTTAAGTGAGTTTTGCTCCATTTTACCATCTTTCTTGCCACTAGTCGTTAAGTGAATCCCTTCAGGGGTTAAGTTAGTAACACGGTTGTTAAGTGAATCTGGTTTTCCCATTACACTTCCTTGTCACAAGGTCACAAAAAGGGGATTACCTAGCCCCCGGGACATTGCAACCGTCATAAACACGAGTCAGTTGCCAAGCATCTGAATTTTGATCACATGACCACGGGGATGCTGCAACGGTCGTAAGTGTGAAAAACGGTCGTCAGTCACTTTTTTCAGTGCCCTTGTAACCAGAAATGGCCACTAACTTGTAAGTCAAGGGCTACATATATATGTAAGTTGCAGAGTTCACACAATGTGCTTAACCGGGTGAGTTACAAGCTGCAGTTTGTAGGCCTAGGTCAGGGGTAGGCAACCTTGGCTCTTTTATGACTCGTGGACTTCAACTCCCAGAATTCCTGAGCTATGATGGCTCAGGAATTCTGGGAGTTGAGGTCCACGAGTCATAAAAGAGCCAAGGTTGCCTACCCATGGCCTAGGAGTTCTGAAGACCCAATGATTAGTTTATTTCGTGTTTTGACCAGTTTATTCATGTTTCGATTAGTTTAGTATTGGTGTGCGATTCTAGAAATTGGGTTGATTCCATAACCGGGTTAATTTCCTGGTGTGAATGCATACCCTGTGCCTGTATTAGTGTCAGGAACTGTTTGTGCAGCTTTCTCCTTGCCAAGCGCATGGGCGACCACGAATGTAAAGCTCTGATGCTTGAAGAGCTAATGAATGGGAAAGGTCACATCAGCCTTGGCAGCCTTTCGGGGTATTAAATTTCTTGTTTACAGGAAGTCTGTGTGATCTCTTTTGGAAAATATATCTGGAAATCTGTCGTAGGTCTTTCCTGAACAGAAGGTTAGATAGGCAGAGCTTGAGCGGAAGCGGATTTCTGAATTTTAAAATTTTCCAGAGGAATAAACTGGGCACTTCTCGCAGAAGTCAAGTAAGCGTGTTGAAAAAGCCTTGATAGATCTCTTTAAAAAACCTGTTTTTCCCGTTCTGATTGATTCGCTTGCCAGGTTGGTCTGAGGGGAAAAAAAGGAGACAGAGTAAAACAGAAATGAAATGTTCTCCATCGCTGTCCAGTCTCTTTTAAGAAGAGACTGGACAGCCATTTGTCCAGAATAATAGGAAGTCTCCAGCTTGATCAGGACTAGAAGACTTCCAAGATCCCACCCAAAGTTGTTAATCTTTGTTCTATGTTCTTAGTTGCAGAAGGTGTGTGTGCCTGGTTCTGTTTTAGCAGCTTTGTTTGAGGCAATTAATTGGCCCCTTGTTTTGTGCAAAAAGTAGCACCACTTCAGGATCCTAGAAATCTTTGTGTCAAGACTGACTGTTGCTTTCACCTACATTGACACCTACACCTTGACAGTAACAGAGAGGGGGTGGAGGGAATGCAAAGGGGGGGGATGATGTCCAAGCAGCCATCGACTTTCTGGCATTTCAAGGACACACCACCGAGCAGACGTCCCAGTATGGCTGGCTGTTTCCCATAACAACACAAACAGAAGTGATTGGTGGACATAATGAAGAGAAGGACGAGGGGGGACATGATAGCAGCCTTCCAGTATCTCAGGGGCTGCCCCAAAGAAGAGGGAGTCAAGCTATTCTCCAAAGCGCCTGAAGGCAGGACAAGAAGCAACGGATGGAAACTAACCAAAGAGAGAAGCAACTTAGAACTAAGGAGAAACTTCCTGACAGTCAGAACAATTAGCCAGTGGAACAGCCTGCCTCCAAAAGCGGTGAATGCTCCAACACTGGAAGTTTTTAAGAAGAGACTGGACAGCCATTTGTCCAAAATGGTGTAGGGCAGTGTTTCTCAACCTTGACAATTTTAAGGCATGTGGACTTCAACTCCCAGAATTCCACAGCCAGCATTGCTGGCTGTGGAATTCTGGGAGTTGAAGTCCACATGCCTTAAAATTGTCAAGGTGGAGAAACACTGGTGTAGGGTTACCTGCCTGAGCAGGGGGTTGGACTAGATGACCTCCAAGGTCCCTTCCAACTTTATTATTATTATTATTATTATTATTATTATTATTATTATTATTATTATTATTATTATTATTATTATTATTACTACTACTACTACTACTACTACTACTACTACTACTACTATTATTATTATTATTATTATTATTATTATTATTATTATTATTATTATTATTATTATTATTATAATGGATTGTGCGTGGCCCGTAGAGAAAGGGGGAATTAACGATGCTTGCTTCTGCACAGGACACTCAGAGCTGGTTTTGCTTCTTCTGCGCCAGTATAATTTTTTAAGTAAAGTTTTTATACTCTTGGTAAAATAATCTCTCAGGCGTTCCTTCTTCTGGATTTGCCAACTGGACAGTTGACCCTTTGCCTTAAGGTGCAGGGGGTCCTAATTTCAGGAGGCTTATTCTGCAAACATCATGCTCTGGATTTTTCTTTCGCCAAAGGGACCCTGCTGCCAGCCAGCCTCAGAGAGAGGACTCATTGTTGGATCTGCTCTTGAATGGTGGTCCTTTTCTCCTTTAGGCTGCTGGACTAAAAATAGATCTCAGGCTGAAGATCAGCCTGCAGAGCTTGCTGGTTAAAGCCAACGATCAGATAAGAAAACTCAGCTGCTTGCCATGTGACGGTGCTCCTTCACCAAGCAGCTGGAGTGACGGAGGGCTGGTTCGCAGCTCTCCTGCCAACGGCCTCCACGGCATTTTAAAATTAAGCAAGCGAGGACATTTGCAAAATCGGAAGAGCAGCAGCCCACACGCGTTCCTCTGTTAGGATTTGCACGCAGCTTCTTCTTGCACCATTACTGCCAGGTTCTGAAGCCAGAGCAAGAAGCCGTGGACGGAAACTAATCAAGGAAACTAATCAACCAGCCTTGAAATAAGGAGAAATTTCCTGACCAGTTAGAACACTTAATCAGTAGACCGGCTGGCCTCCAGCGGTTGTGGAATAACAAGAGTTGGAAGAGACCTTGGAGGTCTTCTAGTCCAACCCCCTGCTCAAGCAGGGGACCCTATATCATTCCAGAGAAATGGCTGTCCAGCTTCTTCTTAAAAATCTCCAGTGATGGAGCACCCACAACTTCTGAAGGCAAGCCGTTCCACTGATTAATTGTTCTCATTGTCAGGAAATTTCCCCTTATTTCTAGGTTGCTCCTCACCTTGATTACTTGCCATCCATTGCTTCTTGTCCTGCCTTCAGGTGTTTTGGAGAATAGGTTGACCCTCTCTTCTTTGTGGTAGCCCCTGAGATATTGGAAGACTGCTATCTGGTCACCGGTGGTCCTTCTCTTTGTTAAACTAGACATACCTAGTTTCCTCAATCATTCATTGTATGGTTTAATCTCCAGATCTTTTATCATCATTGTTGCTGTTCTCTGCACTTTTTCACTCTATCACGGTGCCCAAATTGGAAGCAGTTTTCCAAGTATGGTCTTAACCAGTGCACTGTAACTATCCCATCATATGAATCCCACCATAGTGGATTGGCAGGAAATAAATACATCTCGGGACTTGTTCTGTGCATTTAACTACCTGCAGAAACTAGTTTGTGGAAGCACACGGTTCACGTCCTTCAGAAGTGGACGGTTAAGCCAACACAAAAAGGTGAACATAAGAGGGTGTTGGCAACCTCGTTCCTTGGTGGTGACTCTCTGGAGGTTTGCACAGAACTTGCTAAGTCAACCCGGGTTAAGCTGACTAAATATTTGAAATTCATCAATGCAAGCCACAGGTGCCGAGTGCCAGATGTTTAAATAAACCCCAAACAAAGGTTGCATGAGTAATAATGTCCATAAAGATCAACAGGAGTGTTTTCACATCTCCACTTCAAACAAAAGCCATCTGAGATTAAAAGTGTCTGCAAAGGGGTTGAAATTTCCAGTTTCTACTGGCCCAGCTTCTACAGCAGGAGTCTTCAAACTTGGCCCTTTTATGACTTGTGTCCAGTCTGTTAAAAACCTCCAGTGATGGGGCACCCACGATTTTTGGGGGTAAGCTGTTCCACTGGTTGATTGTCCTCACTGTCAGGAAGTTTCTCCATAGTTCCAGGTTGCTTCTTTATTTGATCAGTTTCCAACCGTTGTTTCTTGTCCTTCCCTCTGGTGCTTTGGTGAATAACGTGACCCCCTCTTCTTTGTGGCAGCCCCTCAAATACTGGAACACTGCTATCATGTCTCCCCTTTTTCTTCTTTTCTTTAGACTAGCCAAACCCAAGTCCTGCAGCCATTCTTCATATGTTTTAGCCTCCAGGCCTTTGAACATCTTACTTATATATCATCTTAGTTATATATCATCTTATATTACCTAGTTTGGTACTGAAACGTCTACCCCCCCCCCAAAAAAAAGCACTCAGAGAGAACCAAGGATCCCAAACACCAAGAAAGGGTTGTGTGATCCTGCCTCTAGGGCAGATACAGGTAGAGAAAGCATTGTTTTGTTTCAAGAGGTATAAAATTGCTTTCAACATAGCCAAAGCCTTTGCGATAAGGAGGCCTGTAACGTGTCAGCAAAAACAATGCAAAACTGAGCGGACGTCAAATAAATCTATAATAAAGGCACAGAGGGATGATTTTAATTAATGTTATTGAATGGTGAAACCTGAACTAGAAGCCGGGATGTTTTCTGAAATAAGTAGCATAATCTTGAGAACATTTTCTAAACACCTGCCAGCCTGTATTGGTTTTTAATAGCTCATTATGCGGTTCGCATCTAACAAGCTCAATCAAATGACAGTTGAACCGATAGAGTACAAGCTGTTTAATCACTGGCAATTTCCTTCCTAAACTGATGTAATGTGATGGTTCTGGGGGGGAGGTTTGAGGGGGGGAGAGGGGCACCACTTGGGCAGGGCAGAACACATATACATATTTCTCCCAGCATTGTGGCTTTATTCTCCCAAAAAATAAAGCCACACGCTTTTGATGAGTTTCATGAAATAGATTTTAGAACAGACTAGAGCTGGAAGAGACCCTGGAGGTCTTCTAGTCCAGCCCCCTGCTCAAGCAGGAGACCCTATACCATCTCAAGACAAGTCACTGTCTAGCCTCTTCTTAAAAACCTCCAGTGATGGAGCGTCCATGATTTCTGAAGGCAACTTCTCTTCCGCTGGTTGATTGTCTTCACTGTCAGGAAGTTTCTCCTTAAATCCAGGTTGCTTCTCTCTTTGGTCAGTTTCATTTTCCTCTAAACAGTCTTAAACCTGAACGACAAGATTCCTCAGCTGAATAAGATACTGTGCCACACATACTGGGCATACCAAGGAAGGGGGAAAAAAAATGAACATTGTTCCTCTGAAGCTGTTGTTCTCAAAGTGTAAGAATGCAAAACAGGCATCGGCTGTGTGTTGATATTGTAATGCATTTAGTGAGTCAGCTAACTTAGGAATTTGCATGCATACAGCATGACAAGTTTGGGTAACTTTGAAAGGTTTTTGCTTATAATATTGGGCAAACCCAGCCGATCTGGTTTATCGGTAGTGTGTTGTGGCAAACCAACAAATGGTTTGTGTTCCAACTTGCTGTATTAAGAGAGCCTCTTAAGAATTGCCAGCTTGGGAACGAAACAGCTGAACCCTTCTAGGATCATATGTTGATAAAGATGAGAGGAGTTGGCTTATTTTGGGTGTGGGCGAACAGTTTAAGTGAATAAATCATGTGGTCTTAAGCCAGGAAGTCCTAAAGTTTGAGTCTGTGATCCTTCTCTCCAACCCACCCCCAAATATCATCTCTAACCAAGTGGTTGTTGATAGCTTAGAGCACAAAGATGGTGCTGAAGAAACGGTTGCAATCTTTCTGAAACAGACATCGGTATCGCCCAATATCTAAAATATTTTCTTCTTTCGTTTTAGGTCTAAGAGGAGGACTAAAAAACCCCGCAAATATGATATTATCACGACTCCGGCAGAACGGGTGGAAATGGCTCCCTTAAATGAAGAGGAGGAGGATGACGAAGACTCCACAGTATTTGATATAAAATATAGGTAGGGGGAAAGAGGGATGGACGCACAAGCCTGGAGATTACTGGGGTGCTTCATTTTGGGGCTACTATATGATCCCAAGGAAAGACACAGCTTCATCAGGGAGATGCCCTTTGAATCTGATTCACTCTATGGCCCCATGATGGACATCAGTTATGTACGGTTGTCCAGTCTCTTCTTAAAAACCTCCACTGATGAAGCACCCACAACTTCTGATGGCAAGCCGTTCCACTGATTAATTGTTCTCATTGCCAGGAAATTTCCCCTTCTTTTTAGGTTAATTCTCTCCTTGATACGTTTCCATCCGTTGCTTCTTGTCCTGCCTTCAGGTGCTGTGGAGAATAGCTTGATCCGCCTCTTCTTTGTGGCAACCCCTCAAATATAGGAAGATTGCTATCATGTCAACCATTACTTCTTTTCATTAGACTAGACCAGGGGTCTCCAACCTTGGCAACTTTAAGACTTGTGGATTTTAACTTCCAGCTTTGTTGAAGACAAACCCGGATCAAACCGATCTCCCTGACAAGAAGCAATGGGTGGAAACTAATCAAGGAGAGAAGCAATCTAGAACTAAGGAGAAACTTCCTGACAATGAGAACAATTAACCAGTGGAACAACCTGCCTCCAGAAGCGGTGAATGCCCCAACACTGGAAGTTTTTAAGAGGAGATTGGACAACCATTTGTCCGAAATGGTCTAGGGTTTCCTGCCTGAGCAGGGGGTTGGACTAGATGACCTTCAAGGTCCCTTCTAACTTTACTATTATTATTATTATTATTATTATTATTATTATTATTATTATTATTATTATTATTATTATTATTATTATTATTATTATTATTATTACAACAGGGAAACTATTTGCTTGGAGCCAAACAAGTGACACCAAGTCCGGTGGTAATTCTCTTCGGGCGTGAACAGTTTAGCTGTGTCTCCAATGGGCTTCCTCTGTTCAGTTGACACAAAAGCGGTTTTGATGAGTCCTGGAGGGGATTTGCCTGGGAGAACCATCTAATTCCAAAATGAGCTCTCTAGCTGACTTCTAATTCTTAAATGACGGCTGGCTTGGTAGCTTGAAAATCTTTCTCAGTTTGATGGTGTGCATCCTCTAATGATGCTAATTTGTTTTCTCAGGTGAGGCCACTGGACTGGACTCCTCAGGAACGTCGTCTCGTGTAGAAAACGATGCAAGAACTTTGGAACCAAAGGAGAGCTGGAGAATAACTTTGGTTTTTTTTGGATCCACAACATTTCGATCTACAGAAAAGAGTGGATGTTGGATTTCACCTTTGGCACGTTCCTAATAAATACGTCCGTTACGTTCCTGGATGAATGATGCGAGGAACTGAAGGAGTTCTTCTTCCAGAACTTCTTTTTAATTCTAAAGACAATCCTTCTGATTTACCATAGCTTCAGATGCCACCAGCAAATTAGAGAGCGGAGGTCAGCCACAAGCAGTAACGTTCATTCAACACTTCAGAAGCTGCCAAGGCATTCTTTGCTCAACGTATTAAAGTAGACAGATGGATTCTGATTGCATTCTGGGATCGGCTCTGAGTTGACTAAAATGTTTGCTCATCTTGTGTGCAACTTGGAACTTGTATCGGTTAAGCTGAAATTATTTAGCAAGGTTTTGTGCATATTTGTGTTCGGGGGGAGGAGAATTTTCATGGGTAACCCTTTCGGTAGATAGCTCTCATGCCTTGCCATTAATGAGGACCAGTATGCTGCTTAATTTACAGTAAGGTTCCCTGTTTTTACAGGGAGTTTTCCCCAAACATTATATATATATTTTTCCCCCAGAAGGTGAATTCTGATAGCAGGAGAAAACAAAATAAGTCAATTTTAGAAGAAATGAATTTTCCTTTTAATCCCCTGCATCTCACACCCTCATGGGGAGAAGTGATTTTTTTTTATATATATGCACTATTTTGCTTTCTATAGCTTCTCATAATTTTTTTTCATTTCCAGGCAATTAGCAATCGGATTACTGAATCGGAATAAGAGGTTTTGCCTTCATGCCAGAGTGGTCCCATCTGTTCTCCCCAACAGACACCTCTCCAGTCTCTTTTCCCTCTAGAAATGTTGGTTTTTACTGACTGTCAATTAGGACAGCTGAAACTCCACACACTGAGTGTCTTCAGCCTCAGTCATTTCATCATGGTTTGAACTTTGCTTGGCGGTGAACTGTTTTCCTTTTAATTATACCTAGCAAATAAATATAAGGCAAAGTAGATGGTGGTTTTTCCCCCCCTCTTCTTTCTCCAGGAGAGTCAAATGCTTCTTTAGCACCACTGAAGAAATTGCCCATTTAACCTTAGAACATAGAAACCTAGGGCTGGAAGGGACCTTGGAGGTCTTCTAGTCCAACCCCCTGCTCAAGGCAGGAGACCTTATACCGTGCTGGTCAAATGATTGTCCAGTCTATTTTTTAAAACCTCCAATGATGGAACATCCACAACTTCATGAAGCAAGCTATTCCGTTGATTAATTGTTCTCACCGTCAGAAAATTTCTCCTTACTTCTAGGCTGGATCTCTCTTTAACAAGCTTCCACCTGTTACCTCTTGTCCTGCCCTCTGGTGCCTGAAAGAAAACAGTAAGACAATCCCCTCTTCTCTGTGACAGCCTTTAAAGTTGCAGGATCCAATCTGGGTCAGTCACCGGGACCAGGGTTCCTGTCTTCCGAGCTTTTGGATTCATGCTGGAGCCTTCATTTGTGAGCCCTTAAAGTATTGGACAGTTATCATGTCCCCCTAATCCTTCTCTTTGATAGGTTAGACATACCTAGTTCCCTCAACTGTTCATCATACGATTTAGCCTCCAGGCCCTTCACCATCTTGGTTGCTCTTCTCTGCACACTTTCCAGGTTCTCTGCCTTAATAAGTCGCTATTCTTAAAGGGGATGAAATGACTCAGTAGTTAAAGACGCTAAGCTTGTCAGACGAATCTCCGGGTTCGAGGCCGAAGCACTGCGCAATGGAGTGAGCTCCCGTTCCTTGCTTCAACTCCTGCCCGCCTAGCAGTTCAAAAGCATGCAAATGTGAGTAGATAAATAGGTCCCACTTTGGGAGGAAGGTACAGGGTTTCATGCACCTTTGGCATGTCCCAGTGGACGTGTCTTCGGACAATGCTGGCTCCCTCGGCCAAGAATGAGCACTGTGCCCTAGAGTTAGACACAACTGGACAGGGAACTATTTACCTTTACTTTTACTCCTAAAAGCCATAGTCCTAAAGACTGTAATAAAGAACATAGAACATAAAACCGTGTTGAAAGAGTTGAGTTTCTGCTTCTGTACAAATTAAAGTTTGGGTAGTGCCAACTCGGCATCCCAGCTCCCTTCTCCCATGCTGTGTCTAAAAGCCGTATTTACAGAGAGTCCCTCTCCCCCCCCCACCCTTTGTAATTTTATGATAACAAAAAGATGTTTATTCTCTTGATTCAGGAATCCAGACTGGGACCGATGTTCTCAGAAAAAGGGATAAATTTAATCTCTTAGATGGCTTGGTTAAGATCCATGTGTTCTTGTCATGCCAGTTTGGAAATATTCTGAGCTGGCAGCCACAAGATATTTGACTCTTGCTTCCCTCCTTTGCTGTCCCAGAGATATTGAGCAAAATATTTTTTTCCCAGACTCTCCTTTTCTCTTGGGATTTTCTGAGGATTTCTTTGGTGCCTGTTGAACTCGGTGGAGGGAAGAAGATGCAGGCAGAAATGATAATTGCAGACGTTTAGCAGGGGTGATAGCAAGGTAACCCGAAGTGGATTTTGCGACATCCGTGAAGTTTCTGAAATCTTTCCTCCCAGACGTTCCCTTTTTTATTAGTTCCAAATAGCTCTTCTGGATCAACTTTTGAACAGCCTGTGGTTTTGCACGCTTACTTTCTTAAAAAGCAATTGTGTGAGATTTCCCCCAGCAGTATCTCAAAAATCTCTCTGTAATTGAGAAGGTGGTCCATTCTGGTTGATCCCAGCTGAACCGGTGTCTGTCTTTCTTGCAATGTTTTTTCTTCCTGTGGAGAAAAAACAACAACTTGAAGTTTCAAGATTTAGCTCTTTATTACCCAATTTCGTGGCTCGGCATCCATTTCCCCATCTGCTTCACCCTTTGCAAGCTGATCTTTATTGCCCAAGTGGCTGGCTTTCACATCTGCCCATAAAAACGTTTCTAAATTTCAGTAACAGAATTTGCTGCATTTAGCAATTGTTCACCAAGACACTTTTCCTGAGGCTGACGCCCTTTTAGCCAATGGCTCTGCTCCCTAGGAATGATAGAACATGAAAAGCAACATAACTAGAGACCATTTGGTTGGAGAAGGAAAAGTCAAAAATGGCAAGGAACATTGTTCATTTATTTTGCAATTCCTGAAGTTAGCTCACTTCTTCAAATATGGTTTCTGAGTGCCGGCCTCTTCGAATGAATCCTGAAAGTACAGTAGCGGAACCACAGCTCCCAGCTTGTATTTTTCTTGGTTGTGCTACATGGAGCTTCTGGGAAATGTAGTTCACTGGCTTCTAGAGAGCTACACAATCTCCTTCCTTAACGCAAAGCATATTTCAGACAAATAAAGCAAATGAACCATGTGCGTGGTATGGTGGCCTAGTGGTGAAGACCCTTGCCTCCCATTCGGAAGGTTGAGAGTTCAATCCTAGGTAACTGCAGATGTTTCTCAGGAGGCAAAGAAAAAAACATCTGCTGCATACTCCATGTAGGTGTCAGGAAAGGCATCTAGCTAGTAAATGCTCAGGTCCATCCAGTTGCCCCATACCTACCCCAAATTAAGGGACTACAAGAAAAAAAAAAGCAAACGAACCTTGTCTTTGATACAAACATCTTTCAGTGCATGGGTATTTCCCCTTATTCTTGAGATGATGAGATTAAAAAAAGGGGGACTAGCCTCTCTCCTGGTCTTGATTTTAAAGATTTTTTTTAATTTCAGAGAACTAAAGATTAGCTCCATGCTGCACTAAACCATACCTTGTTTTAACCATGATTTGTTGAACAACCTGCCTGGTTTCCAACAACCGTTTACAAGACTTTACTAGACTTCCCCAATCTGGACAACTCCCAGAATTCTTAGCTAAGAAGTTACTGCTGAGAATTCTGGGAACTGAAGTCCATACATGGCACTGGATGGTTCTTTCCTACGGCATAAAGTACGATCTGCATATAAGAATAGTTGGATTTATTTTATTTATTATTTATTATTTGGATTTATATCCCGCCCTTCTCCTCATAGGACTCAGGGCGAGATATAAATCCAAATAATAAATAAATCCAAATTAGCCTCATATGCTTTGCCACAACCAAAGAAATCACAGAAGCGCTTCCTTGCCATTTCTGAAATTCATCAAAATATGTTCTTGTCCCGAAAGTACACTTGGAATATTGCAGTGGCATAAATTTAAACATCCCTCATTAAAACAACAAACTTAAATCCTTTCCTGCTTATTTTTTTGTTTCTGCATGTATATATTGCCTTGTACTTTTTAACGGGTTGCCTTTTTTCTCTTTTGTAGTAATAAAAATCAATATTAACATTTTGACAAAATCAGTTATTTCAATGTATACAATAGCTGCCTTTCTAAAGTAGCTGTTCTACTTTAACTATATAGTACTTGTTATTGCTGGGAACAAATATAATTTCTGTTTCTTCTTAGGAAAACCTCTTTCTTCCTGTATCCCAAATGACATCCCAATGTATTTTCAAATACATTGAAAATAATCCACTAACTCATATTTAATGATGTTTAGCTTAACTGAGAGCTCATTATTATTTAGGCTCCACTATTTAAATTTATGATGAGCTGCAGATGTCTTTGTTACTTTAATCTCCTCAGTTAAAGATTACAGGAAGCAATAAGATAGCAAAACTATTCCAAGGGGTGCTTAAGATAAATCAGAGATCTAAGCTAATTGTTGTGCTTGGTTAATTTTAATCATCAACTATCTACAGTTACCCCCTTTTGAAAGACGATTATCAATTTAGGTTTCCCTAAGGGTGTAGGCTCAGTTTATGCAAAATGATTATGGCATCTGCAAGAAAAATGAGTGATGTCATACATCTCATGATGTCACCATGCAAATGTCAGAAATCACTAGATCATTGGGATAATGATGACATGATGGGCTCAATATCCTGATGGCTTGTGCTGGGCATCTTTGAATTTTGCTACATTCGTTTAAGGGTGTTTTATTGAATAACTTCAGTTGGCTTCACCACACACTTAAA